AGAAAGGGCGAATAGCGAAATTAAAATATTTCTCCTAAGCAATTTCCTTTCAATGTGCATGAATCTGTGCACCAGGCCACTAGTATTTCTATAAAATATATATTAACATAAGAAGCTTAAAACAATTTTGTTCCAAAAAATTTAGATGTACTTAATTTACTGATAATTTATACAAATGCACAATAAATTGTTAGATGTCTTCAACTGGTAAGAATCATTTTCTGAGTAGATTGGATTACTGTTGTGAGGGGCAAACAATATATTTCTAAGGTCAATTTCTGTTTTCAGATACCTCTAATACCACAAAAGTTAATTCTCACTTGCATATGGGTATAGCAGTATTTTATTACAATAAAAAAATAAGGAGAGGACATCATCAAGGTACTTTCTCTCTCCTAGATTCACTTTTTTAACCTAAGAATGTTTTTTAGAAAGTTTTAGGAAATTAGAGACACAGACATTTTTAAGAAAAATAAATAATAGAATTATTTAAAAAGTACAACTGAATTTCTGCACTAAAAATTAAAACTCTTATTTTAAAACTGAAAAATTCCTTCCAGAGAAAATTGAATGACAGTTAATAGTGAGCAGCTTTGTAACCTCATTGGTCAAATGTAACAAAGTAATATAAGATTTTCATGTACTTTCATAATTAAAAAAAGTAAGTTGTTCTTAGCATTTTAATATCCCCTAAAAACATTTCTTTGTAAATTAGTGACTTGTGTATGAAATACGGAAAATCCTATTTAAATCCTAGGAATTGTGCTGGGAAACAGTTTTGTGCACATGGCTATCGGTGAAATGGAGTCACTGCTTATTTCATCTTTTGGCTACACCTAAGACCTCCTCTTTGTCTTTAAGTTTCTGTATTTTCACTACAATGAGTTTAAATGTTTACTTTTTGTTTACATTGTTCAGGATTTGTTGTGCTTCCTGACTATGAGGATTGCCCTTCAACAATTCAGGGAAATTCTCAACCAATATCCCTAAAATTCCTTCAAATATTTTTTTGTGTGTGTTTACTTCTAACAGATATTGCAATGTTGGTATTTGTTACCAACTAGGCCACTTCTTAAAAAAATATATGTTTTTATTGATTTTAGAGAGAGAGAAAGGAAGGGGGATGGAGATAGAAAGAAACATCCATGTGAGAGAGAAGCATCAATTGGCTGCCTCCTGCATGCCCCCTGACCAAGGATGGAGCCTGCAACCTGGGCATGTGCTCTGACTGGGAATGGAACTGGTGGCCTTTCAGTGCATGGGACAATGTTCAACCAACTGAACCATACTAGTCAGGGAAGTAGGGCCACTTTTATAATAATTTATCCATTTCTATTTGTGTGTATAAATTCTAAATACAAGCTGTCTGAAGACGACTGTGATGTCAAATTCTCATAGAATATATTTCCCTCACCACACTAAGCCCAGGCCAAGACAGAAAACACTTAGTTGACTCCTTGTATAGATAATAGATTTTCTTCTATTCTTTTATTGGGGTGTTACCCTTCAATAGTCTGGCTAACTATGAGATCTTAGATATAATTTATTGCCTTGACTGAGTCCACAGTTCCTGTTCTTGGGTGAGCATTAAATTCCTAGTCAGGCTACCCAATCTGGCAACTTCCTTTGGTGCAGTCATCTTTTATTCTTGGCCCCTGAAGGTTTTCTTTACTTTCTTGGAAGCTCAGCTGTGCATTTGAAATGCTTTACACAGATTTTTACATGTTCTGTATGTCAGATTTATCTTGTCCACAATTTACCTAAAACGAATTTCCCTTGACAATCTCACCATAAAGATGCAATAAATAGATGAGATTATAAAGAAAGTTCAGTAAAGAAACAGCTTAATTAGTCATTATAATGGGTCGCCCAAAACTGAGTGATTTATCATGGGCAGAGTAGCCCGAAGCTCTCTTATTGTGGGGCCATCTCAGATACAGCTTATGCAAAAGACAATTATCAAGACACATGATGGTTGGTACTCACCTGGGAAACTGCATTCCATTCCGTTTATTAGAAATTCCTACTATTTGACATGAGCAGGGATTATTGCCACTGGGCCACCCATAATGTATCTCTTACTGATTCATCATAACTTTCTCTGTTGTGGCTGTTTAAGCCTTTTTGCACTTTCTAAGCTCCCAGGCAAATCCTGTCTCTTCTTTCTCAACACCCTTAGCTTATGATTTCTGTGTGGCCTCAAGTCAATATATTATCTCTGCTTTTGTTTAAATTCACTTTAAAGTGTAATACTTATAAATGTGAAACCAGTGGAAATTCTGCACTGGGTATCTTTGTAAAGAAATCATTATCAGTTCTAAATTGCCTGGCAAAGAACTATAATAAATTAAAAGTTATGTAATATATTTTCAAGGGATGAGGACTTAGAGAAACCACTAAGAACCAAAAGTGACAAGAATCCTGGCAGCAAAGGCCTTGTAGAGTTTGATATGCATCCACATTCTGGGAACTGAGGGCCCTAGGGAGCAGTGATCTGCAGATTTATTAACCTGGCCGGGGATGCTAGAAAGAATATCATTTCTGCTGATTCAGCTCCAGGCTGGGAAAAAAACCAAATGTGCTGCATACATTGTTGCTTGAACACTCACCACCCTTACCTGGGGTGGTCATAGTTTAATGCAAGATCTTGGTCCTTCTGCCAACTATCCACCACTTGATAAAAGTTCCTTTGTGAAAAAAACCAATTTATACTCCATAGTAAAGAAACCTATACCTAGAATGTCAATTATTTAAGTAAAAAAATGATTGGGTAAAATTGACAGTGTCATTAATGTTGTTTTACATCTTTCATCATCTCAACCAAAGTTAAGACTATTTTATGTAAAAAAAAATCAAATCTGAGTGACTTGAATTTGGATGTAGTCCAAACCTGTGTCTCTGATGTTATTCTTTATGAAGAGGGGAAAGAAACAGCTTGAGGTGAATGACATGAATATAAAATAGCACTACCTTCATTCAAGTGTTTTGGTTGAGCTGTCAAGGGAAAACAATGCCTAGGGTGACGACTAGCTGCAAAAATTAATTATGGCCTTTTATAAAGACAGAAATGTAGGAGTAAAAAATCTGCACTTTTATTATTTATCTTCTTAAAAGAAACAGTTTGAAACTAGACAAAGAATAATGATTGAGTGCCTGGAGTAGAGTTTTAAATTAGGGTGGGTTAAGAAGGACATACAGGTTATTCTGATCATATGCTTTCAAAAGAACCCATCTTTACAAGAACAAAACACTTAGGAAAAGTGATTAATTGATTCCTTCACTTACTGTTTCTTGTTTATTTTTAGGAAATAGCCATAGTGTTGGATAGATTTAGTTCTAAAATCAGGCTTATGTACATCAATAAGGTAAATGCCAGGTGGCATCACTGCACTTGTTTTATTAACAAATTATGGCATAATCTATTTTTATGAATGGGACTGGGACTTTTAAACCTTTATTTACTTATTAAAATTAGAGAAAAATAAACCCACAACCTTTACATAAAGGTAGGTCAGTAAATGTCTCTTATATATATGTTTACAGTTAGAAAATTTAAGGATTATAAAGATAAGTAAGTCAGTGCTGCTATTACAAGGATGCTTATTATAACTGCAATAGAAGGCAAAGTAAAGGAAGTGGTGTGGGTTTTAAGGAAAGATGGTAATATTTGGGAGAACAAGGACTTTTTAAAGAGAGAATAGATCCTATTAAATATTGATCGGATGAGTAAAGAAGCTAATGAGAATATAAATGTCATAAACACTAGTACAGTATGATCAATTTGAGACTTGAAAATGAATAAAGTTTGGTCTTCAATCCACAATCAGATTTCATATTAGTCCTTTATGTATCAATGGTTCATACAGTATTCAGGTTTCTTTTGAGAATAGAGCTGATATGTATTACCTGAAACTATTATTATGAAGCTGTGTTTGTTATATTGAGCACTGCCGTCAAGCTAAAGACCTGCAATGGCACACGATTACAATATGAATAATTTTGGTCTCCTTCCCTTTTTAAAAATATGTTTTTATTGATTTGACAGAAATAGGGAGAGAGAGAG